GGATACTCCTTAACCTTTCCACTTCCTCCTTCAGCTCTGCCACCAGGCCGAGCAGATCATCCACCTGGTCACACCGCACACAGGTGGTGTCTCTGCTGTCCTCCGGTACAAGTGACAGGCTCAAGTGACTTAGCATCTGTTTAATTCCTTACCATCAAAGTCAGGTTAGATACCTCATTCCTTCTACACCTGAAATTCCTGTCAAACAATTTTTGACTTAGCATCTGTTTAATTCCTTACCATCAAAGTCAGGTTAGATACCTCATTCCTTCTACACCTGAAATTCCTGTCAAACAATTTTAGGAAGTGCAAGGAATGCAGGATTAGTTAACAGCAATTCCAAACTTCATCTGCCCATGGACGACACCATGGACCAAGATAAAGGTACTCTCTCCCTCAAATGGAACTGATGAGAAGACACATACAGATGTCTTGTGCTTCACTATCAAAACCAGGTAATGAAATGGGGAAGGGGGGGTGGTGGTGGGAATCAGAGAACCAGACACCTTAATAAACTGATCTAGAGAGAAAGAATTCAAAACAAAACAACCCCAGAAAACAAAGGGTTCAGGTTTCCCAACCTACAATAGAGTAATGACTCATAAACATTTCCAGTTTACAAAAAGAGCTACAAGAGACTTGAAAACTCCTGTGAGAAAAATGGGATGGAACTGTAGAAATAAAAAAATAAACAAAGCAATGCTATATTGTGTTTTGGGAAGGTTGGGTCTGGAGCCTGCTCGTGCTAATAGCATGTAAATGGTAGCCCTGGCTATAGTAGGTATAACAACAGTACACTGTTAGTAGCTTTTCTGCTAGATTATTATTCATTGTGGTCACTGTGAGTGTAGGCGACATTCACTGATAAAATCCATTAGATTAGAAATTGCTATCATGAAGAGTTATAAGAGGGTAAACAAAGATGGTTGAGAATATCCTTTTTTTCCATTTTTTATTCCTCTTTTATGTCTCTCTGATTCTTGCAATGGAATTGCACCTCAACGTGCACTGCCAGGGCTTGAAAGCAGCTACGTCCATGCTCGTTCTACACAAAGAAAGAGTTCCCACCTTTTTTTGCAGGCAACTTCAAGTAGCACATTACCTACCACATGAAACACCTACAGTTTGCTCTTGGACAGACAGCTTCTTCCCTCATGTGTCTTCCCTTGGCTGTTGACACAAAACCTGACAGTCCCCGTTCTTCAAGTCAATGAAAACTGACTGGCAGCAGGCCATCAGTCCCTCTAGTTTCCCATGGACTTAAGTCCTTTTATAATTTTCCATTTTTCAAAGGTCACTCTGGACTTAATGCTGAAAGAATATTAATTTCTAACATAGTGTCAAATATAGTTAAAAAAAATCAACAAAGAAATAGGAAAAAGTTTCAGTTCTGTATTTTATAACAGTGTCTTCTGAACAATTCAGCTTGTTCCACGACTCTTTTTTCAGCGTTCCCTACCACCTTTCTGAGGAGCTTTCTAATTCCCTCAGGACAACTACCCAGCCCAGGCAGATCTGTGCTCACACAACTGCTGGTCATTAGAGGTAGCTGTGTCTTTTGGTACTACAAAGATGGCAAGTGGTCCTGGGCAGGCTGAGCAAGTGTAGCATGTCCTCTTTAGACTACACAAAAGAACAAAACCAAATCTTTGCGGACCTCAACCGAGAACAAACAACTGAAAACAGAATTAAAGAACATTCTCAGAGTAGAAAGAGAGATTTCCTGTCCCATGCGAGTTTAGGATTTAGACTTTGTCATTCAGATGTATTTATGCAAACTTATCTTTCAGCATGAGTTAACTACAGCAAAAGATGATTTTGAATAAAAATAAACATGGGAGAAAATTCTTCACAGAATTATCTTCCGGCTTTGCTCTGAGGTACTAAGCCGAATGCTCACTTTTCCATGGAATCACAAAGATATGCTACAGCTTGGCTTGATACACTCAGTTTCTAATTTATCATAGCTCTAAACAGGAATTAATAGTGCTAATTAAAATCCCCTTAAGTAATTCAATTTCTTTGCTTAGCTATTTTAACTTTATCCAAGTAAATAAATGAAATTTCTGTTATCTTAATTTAACATTATAAAGTAGAATACATATACAAATTAAACTTACATTGACCTTTTAATGGTACTGACACTAACATCCAGCTTTTCATACCGATAGCTCAGATACAATTTTGCACTGCAAGCAGGAAAACAAATGAACAAAAACCTCCAGTGATGTAAATTAGCACATTTCTGGCTCACTGAAAATCAGAAAGTGACGGTTTTAATCCTAACACTATAGATGCATCCACTTTAGGAAGGAACACTGTTCCCTCCAGGAGCAATGTGAATACAAAGAATATAAAGTCTTTAAACATCCTAGTTTTACACATGACAGAATTACACAGAGAAAGTGTTGTGTGCTGTTGAACTCAGGTCAATGCATGCCTGTTAAGATGCTGAAAAGCAAATGGTAGAGATAAGGCTATTTAAGGAGATTAAAGCTATCTAAAGAATCTGTGGAAATAATTTCAGCCTTTCCAAAATAGTCCTGTGCTGTCCCCATTTACTTTTTGAGGATCTGACCCTTCTAAATAGCTTTATTCCCAAATTTGCAGGTACAGTTATCAGGAAAAACAACGAGATTTTACTTTTATCTATTAAAATACCTAGTTAGTAATTTACCATGATTTTACTTTTAAATATTGCACTGTAGTAATCAGTAAAAATTAAGTTTACTATTTTGCAAGTCAGCACAAACGTGTGCTGGGTTTGAAGGTATCTTAGGATAAAATGCAGCCTAAGCAATAAATATTAATCTGTTAATTCTACCTGTACACGTATTATGTTAAATGAAATAAAGCAGATAAGTAAACAGATGAAAGAAAAGAGGTTTCCAAATACCGTGACTGTTGCATCGTGATGTTTCCACAAGACGATTGTTTTGGTCATAGCATGCCATGGCCTGGTAACGATAGCCTTGTCCACATTCCTTAGCGTCTCCTTGTACCTTCATTCCCAGCAATACTTCCAGCTTACCCTCTGGTAAAATACAGTCTGACCAATTTCCCACAGGCTGAGCACTGTACTTGTCACACGGACAAAACTGATTCTCAATCAGAGGATACAACTGAGAATTTTTGCATTTATCCCTTTTCTTACTTTTTCCTAGAACGAAGAAAAAATTATTTTAGAAAGTTTGTATCAGTTTACATCTCCTCAAAAATTTCATTTAGACTTCTGTAACAAATGCTTGAAATCAAATACATATGCCTAAAACTAGTTACATTAATCTCTATTCATTTAGGTTCATGACTTGAATTTCTTAAGTAATGGATGCCTACACTTTGCACAAAGGCAACATCGTTTAAAATAAAGCCATATATTTATATTTACTTTGGAAAAAAATGCTTGGGGAGTACAGTTTGAAGAAGTTAGCAATTAAACAATTATACCCTTTTTCCCCTATTTCGTCAGCAGTGTGCAGTCCAATAAAAAAAAAAAATGTCTCTGGATAAAACTTCCTCAAGTTGAAGGAAATTGTAGGAGTAAGTAACATGCATCTTTGCTACAGCAGTACCTTCTTTCAAAATGTCAAAATCCTTTAATTTCATTACCTGTTATTGTACATTTGTTAATAATTACCATTCTTCTACCCTAATAGAACAAGCTCCTTCTGTGAATTTGTTTCTTTTCAAATCTCTTCTTGTTTTCCTTCCCCAACTGGAGCATAGCCATCCACTCACCCTCTACTTCCCATTAAATCTATTTTTAATCTTCTCTTTGGTAAAGTTTGCTCGGTTTTCCTTTCTATACTAGAAAGCTCATATATATTAATGCAGAAGTCTTTGCAAAAGTAGTTTTAAAAATGCTTGTTACTTAGATACTACTGTAAATTAATATTCTGTAGTATTTTCCTTGCTATTCAAAACAGGGCACTGGACACAACTTTGTAGCACCCTTAGTGCTTGTATTTACTACTGCCTTCATTTAGAATAGAAAAAAGGTACCTGAAGAAAAGGTTATCTTTCTCTTGACAACACAGCTTCATACTAAAAATACACTTCTCCTCCTCCTCCTCATTTTCACCATAAATAATTATGAATTCACTCCAGGTCAGCTTTAAGTGTTAGCCTCGATAGCACATTGCCACAGAGAATACACCACAGCACATATCACAGTCTTAGCAAGTTTGAAGGGGTAACTTAACTCAGGACAGGGAAGTATCTCAAAGCGTTAATAGTGTGGTAAGAGAATCTGCTCTTTCTTGCTTTGTTTTTAAAACAAAAAAAAGTGTTAGGGTTTTTTTTCTCTTGTGGAAGCAAACCTGGCATAAAGTTCACTGGAGTTATAAGACAGCCACAGTGAGCCTTCTCGAAGATCATGAATTATTCATTGTCCACAGGTCTTCTGTTTTACAGGGGGATGGAGCACGGGATAGGGTTTGGATCCTATCACATTCTTTCTGAGGCTGCTAATGGGCACCCCCCTTAGCTAGCTTTCCTCCACCACAGACAATAGAGACTAATTGGCAAATAGTGCTGTGACAGAGGCCAAGTCTCCCTCTTGAGGTTTCAGTTATAACTTAGAAGCAGAGCATGTGTTTTTCTCTTCATTTCATGCAGAAGAAATAAAAAAAAAGAGAATAAAAAGGAGCTGAAGAAAAAAAAATGTTTCAAAGTGGAAGGGTGTCCATCACGTGGAACAAGGAAAAGTTTGTGGCAAGGCGTTGGACATCACTGGAAAAACTTTGTATTCTGTTAACTAAAACCTCAAGAGGTTTCAAGGGACACAAGGTAAGAACATTCTTAGTTGTGTCAAGAAATAAGGCAGAAAATTAAGCAACGTATTGCCTCATGTGGTGATCTGAGATGCTGGATGAGGGCAATGGAAAAATGGAGAACACAAAGAACTTGGAGAGCAAACATTCAGCCAGGGAAAGGACTGGCTTAATAATAAATTCAAGACTGCAGCTAAGAAGTTCAAAAGAGGTAAACCAAAGCTTAAGGCTAAAAATTATGATCTATAGCAAGAGGTTGAAAAGCACTCAGCTGCTGTAGTAATTCTAATGCATCAAAACACCATCTAAGAGGGAAGTCCTGGTGTAGCCAAGACCAGAAGTAGGAAGAGGAATGCAAGTGGGTTAACACCTGGTCCTGTTAAGGAGAGATGATTGTTGATTGGTCTGTCACCAATTAAAAAAAAAAAAAAAATCCACTTTCACTGGATTTTCTATTAAAAGGTTTTCTATTGAAAGCTCCAGGGGAATTTCAACAAGATTTTTTTTTTTCTCAATTACCGTTCAGTGTAAGAAACAACAAAACCAAAGAAAACAGACCCAATTCAATCTGGTGAGAATTCAGTCTGGTTAGACAATGCTGGCAAGATAGAGCTTGTGCATGAAATCATGGTTGCTGAGGAATTAAAACAAATTGCAGACCTTCTCCCTAAACTCTTAATGAGAACACACACATAAATCAAGAAAATGCAAATAATTAGTAGGGCCTGTGGCCACTCTGGTTTTCATTATCAGTTTTTCAAATCTAGTTTCATGTCTTAGTAGAATTAAACTTGTTTAACCTTATTTGGGAGTGAAAGTGATTTGAGAGTGATGTGAAGAGATGTCCTACCCCAGGAATTCTCCGAGTGCCTCACACTACCTACATCATGTTGAAGACCCCAAGGTCTTTGGCTTTTTACACCATTAAGCCAATCAGTGTTTGTGAGTTACATGCCTTTCAACATTCACTAAATTGTCCAACATTTGCCTGAAAACTATCAGTAAAATAAAGTTTAAGAAAAAAAAAAAAGCTTTTGAAAAAGTATTTTCATATTTTAAAATATTTAAAATATTCATATTTTAAGCTGTAACTTAGAACAACAAAGCTGTAACAAGAAATTGCTGGAGATGTAACCTCAAATGTCTGTCTCTTGTATTTTTTAAATGCTTAGCACAAATAGATACTCTCAAGGACATAATTCTGTACAAATGATAAAACATAAACCAGCAACCTTCCTGACCTCTTTGTGCACAGAAGCAGGCTGCAGAATCAGGGTTTGGAATAAACATGGTATGAAAACCTTTTAAATAGCAAACAATCGTGCCCCTTTTGGTGAAAAGATAACACAGGGCTCAACAAAAATGCAGGTAAAGATTTTTTTTATTTTATTTCCTTGGACTGGATCAGTTTGTTGGTTAATTATGCTGCTTTACATTTTTCACCTCCCTGGAACTACAGACAATGCTGACTTGCCTGTCAGGAAAAGAAACGGTCTGCTTTGCAGTATACTATGTGCGCTCCATTTAGAAGAAACCCTGGCCTCCTACATTCTCCCATCTTCTCTCTAGCCACTTCCCCATCATCAAGAGTCTGAGACATGTGGCAGGAGTTTGTTCTCCTGAGGGGTTATTTTTTTGTTCCACTAACAGTATATAGAGCATGACAGTGACATTGGGTCTGCTTTCTGCCACGATGACAAACTTTGCTTGCTTATCATAAGGGAACCTCAGAACAACGCAGGTTTTAATCAAAACAGTAGCAATAATTCATAAAAGATGCATTATTTTTCTGGTTACTCTTACCGACAAGAGTGCGTTTTCTTGTCCTGACTCCTCCACAGTCCCCATTACAGGAAGAAAACTTTGACCAGTTTGTAAACTGACAGTCATCTTGGCAGGGAATCTGGCACGTCTGTGTTAAGGATGGCAATGGGCCAGAGTATTTAAGGCACTCACTGATGTCAGCCTGTCCTCCGTCTTGTCTGCGACAAGTAATTGCTGGAAGCAAAAAGGGATGGAGTTTAATTCAGCAGTTTTTTCATGAATGTGTCTATTCAATTTAGTAAGTCTACAATATTCTACCACAAAATCACATTGAAAGCCCAGAATAGTTATACAAGAACCTAATATTCGCAATAAGTTATATCTTGAATGAATACATTTGACATTTCTGACTTTTTTGAGATTCTGTTTAAATTTCTATTTATCGGGACTTACCTCGGAAAAAAAAAATCTTACAGACAACTGTAAATATTATAAAGGTTGCACCATGTTATCCACACCTGTTATACCACTTTTCACATTATCAATTTTCCTACAGATATAGCCTATAACTCAGACATTAAAAAACTTGCAATGCCATTTTAAGTAGCTGAATGTTGTATAAGCTATAAACTTGTATCAGCAGCATATAATTTAAAAAAAGGGACAGACATAAAATTCAGAAACATATTTGAGTTCTGGATACCACTTAACCACCCACAACGATATTGCTGCCTGATGCTCTTCAGCAATTTTTAGTCTTGAAAAAGGGTTGAAGGACAAAGCATGTTTGCTAGGGATGGAGTATCAGCCAATAGGGCTACAATGTTTTATAACAGGATAGCCATATCCTGAATGAAAACTTAAGAAAACTTCAGGTGGCACAAAAGGAAGAAGTTGGAACATAACAATTTATAAAGAATAGGGCTGCTTCATTAATGTAGTCTTTAACAATGCTGTATTATTGTTCCTCATGGATAATTTAAATTTTTTTTTTAACATGGTTGCTTATCTATTATTCTAACCTAAGCTCAGTAAATCTAACTTTATTTCCTTGCCCAAAACAACATAAAACTTATTACACAGTAACAAGACTGGAAACTTCTAGTTGCTTACACAATAGAATTATATTTATGCTTCTTGGCATCTGACGCTACACAGTATATGCAGTATCTCATAACGACTGTGAAAGTAATTTGGGTCACCAATTGTTGCAGTAACATTGCATCCAAACATATCATTCTATATATATATATGAGGGAATATAAAAAAAAAGTTTTTAAAAAGAAAACTATTAGGGCATAATCAAGTTCAACTTGGAGAAAAATGGGGTTTGAATGCAAAGTTTCAAAATAAAACAGAAAACTGGCTATAAGTGACTATTTCCTCCTGGAAGAAGAAGGAAGAACACTTGAGGAAACAATTTTTTTAAATTTTTTTTTTTTTTAGATTGTTGTAAGGTAATTGTAAAGGTTTAGTGACCTATGATTTCTGAAAAAAAATTTTGTCTGACAGTTCTGAACTAAATTTCTACCTCATGTTGACTGTGGAAAGCTGAACTTGATGACCCACATGGTCCATTTCATCATGTACCTACTAAAACATATCCAAAGGTCCCGAGTGAATTGTTTTTGCCACACGTCTGTGGTAAAACACTGTGAAAGGGAGGGGGGGTTGTTTATTCAGAGATGCTAAGCAAACAACTTCCCTGATCCTTGACTGCCCTTTGGAGCAGGGCTGCCAGCACTGTTTGTAATAGGCTCAGTACTGCATTAAGTTGTGCTTACTGGGGGACTGACCAGCTGTACATTGTCTAATACAATTATTCTGTCAAATCTTATTATTATTGGTGTAGTTTACATGAGGAAACCCTTTTTTCTTCAGATATAATTATACTGATTCAATGAGCAAAACCCAATATTTGAAAATTGAAAATCCATACAACTATTACAAGGATGTGTTAACTGTACCTACTATAGGATTTCTAAAATTACACAAATATTTTGGAAAGACACAAGTCAAATCAGTATCTTCCAACACAAGCCTAGGCTATGGTTTTGGATTCTTGTGAGATACTTTTCTCTGCTAATAACACACATCGGTTTCCTCGAGGTAAAAACACAGTTCAGACTAGTTCTACCCTGTGGAAATTCACAGAGGTCAAACCTAAATCCTCTGTCTTGAGTTTGACCTTGGCATGTGCATGCATCAGCAAAACTAATTGCATTATCTTCACTACATTCTCAGGGAGATATAGACCACCATTTTTAGCAATGAAAACTATACCTAGCCAAGGGCTAAAAGGCAGTCTACTGATTAACCCAATGACTTCTAATAACTTTCTTCAAAAGTTTAATACCCATTTTAGATACTGCCTCTCCATCTAGTCCTTTGATAGGCCATAAACATTGTCCATTGAAGAATATACTTTCTTTCTAGCTAAATTGAGTTTTTCTAAAGCCAATATTCATTCCCTCATCTTTCTTGGTTATTAAACATTACGCTGTGGGCAGCTATCCACTGTGTCATAAATTTTTTCAGACTCGTATTAGTGCATCTAATTTACATCAAGCAGACCCAGGTGAGAAGCTCCCTTGAGGATTAACACTTTGGGTTTTTTCCAGATTAACTGTCAGTTGTACTGTAGCAATCAAAGCAGGAAAACTCTTCATTCTTGAGACCTAAATATTTCACCTTAATAAGAACACAGATTAGAGGACAGCTTGGCATACCAAATCAATTCCTGAATCTTAATTTTCACAGTGCCTGCCCATAACTATTCATGTTACTTCTGGTTGACAAGACCTGGATGATTGGCTCTATATTCCATTTTTCTATTGTTATTCTACAGATTCAAGTATCAATTTGAAAGGTTTGTACTCCTTGTGACTGTTGAAGAGTGGGTATTTTTCCATTACTTAAAGTAGGGATTTTGACAACTGTGTACATTCCATTAATACATTATTTTGGCCAGGTAAATGTCTTACTTGACATCTGAAATGCTCTTACTTTTAGTGGAGTTACTTTTTCCACTCACAGCCTAATTTGGGCAAACTCATCCCCTGCCTCTTTGATCCAACCCATGGTTCTTTAATTATATTCTCTAAAAGTTGCTGAGATCGATGATTAACTCACTATACAGAGAAGTGTCTTCAACTACTATAAAGCCATGCAGTGCCAGATTAATTATTTTGCCTATACAACCACGTTATATTTATTACAGACATTAGCAATAAGTGGAAAGAGCATGGTTCTTCTATTACTGAATTAAGCCCAAGTAATTGTCAAGTGAAAACATAAAACAGGAGTACTGCTAACAGAAAAATCAAATTTAACATGGAAACCATTCACTTACAAAATTGTTTTGGTATTTAACAATTATCTCTCAGAGGAAAGGTGTAAATAAACAGCAGTCTAAATTTTCTAGACAAGGGACTTTGATGTAATTAAAACTTTATCTGATAGCATTGTTTCCACCAAGCCACAGGGGACTACAGGCTAATGTATTTGTTGTTGGCATAACGAAACACTAAGACTGTATTTGAGCAAGTCTTGTTATGTGTGGGTTTATATAAAAACCTTGCCGCTGTTCCCATCATTAGTATACTTCATTGAGATTTCACCGAGATGTGAGATTCAGTGACACCTACACCTAAAAATTAAAATATTTTATAAATGAACATGCTCTATGTCCTTTGTTTTACAACACACTTGTGAAACCATTTTTTCCAATTGTTAAGTATTTTTACCAACAAAAATATTGTTTCATTTCTAGAAAGGCATGAATTATTTCAGCACACTAACTTTTCTTACACCTACTATCAATGCTGCCTAGGATATGATTTCATCTCTGTTTATTTCTTTTTCTGTAGGACACGGCAGACTAGACACTGCACAATGAAATGTTTCTATCGCAAAGTATCTTAAGCAGGAGCACATGTCAATAATGTGAAAATACAAGCCTGATCATTCTTTATGTGCCAAAGAGAATAACAATGTGTTTCTGCTGAATAAAGTTGTCTGGAGATTCTGGCTCTTGTTTTGCCAATAAAAAAATAATTTCTTATGTAAGTACTGCTCTTGAGCACTGTTGTCCAAATTCTTACTTCAGTACAAAACCTGAAGCTGCCAGTTGTCCTTTGCAGTGACTAAAATATGAGCCAGGCAATAGGGCACACTCATCTGTTAAGTCTCAATGAGGTTAAAATAGTAGTTTATAGCTCTATGAAGGAGCAGCACCCCTTCATGATTTTGTCTCCCTTCTTGTGCTTTCAATGAGGGCACGAAACCCCCACAAGAGCAAATCCCCCCACATACATAAGCGACGCCCAGAGTGGGAGGCTGCTGTCCCTGCTTAGCCACAGCGAGAGGAAAGTGCTTTTGCCCACTGGTTCTGCCTCCGAGCCTCCCCACGGCTCAAGCCTGCAAGGCCTCCTTGTCTGCTCATGGCCATCCTGGGAAGCTTCCACCAATTCCCCTGCTCCACTGTCTTTCAAACACCTCTACATACACCCTGCAGATGAAGAATAGTGAGAGCTCAGGATCAGCTCTTTAATAATGGCCAGTTCCCAGCGACATCAAGTACAGCTATTCAGATATTTTCCCTGACAGCCAGGTTACTTAAGCTTCTGCTTAAGTTTTATAAATAACCTTCCTCTTGCTATTAGAGAATATGCTGACAGATTTCACAATTTTCATCCCATTCCTCCTACGAAACTCTGAGGAAGATTTATAGTGGCAAGGACTGCAGGCTGTGCATCCTTTTGCAAATCTCTTTTCGGTCACTGGGGTAGCCCTTACCACGTGCATCCATCCATATGCATCATGATGTGATTAGGCTATCGCAGTTCGGGCACTCGAGCTTCTCATCTGCTACAGGTTCTCTTCACTAGCATTGGGATGCAGTCCAACAAGCCCTACTTAAATCTGCAGAAGCTACTGGCAAAACAAGCCTTTTTAGTAAGTAAGTTTCCTAGGCTTTCCTATACAATTCAAAAGGGATTTGAATTGTATTTCTAAGTTCCTTCAGAAGACACTGGAGCTGAGGTTTACTTACACAGATTTTTTAAGACATGGGCATAACATAACACATACCTGCCTAAGTTCTTCACAATTTCAAACTTCATACATTAATCTATATCACTGAGCAGACCACTACTTTGAAGTTATCTATGTGCTAATAAACGTCAGCCTTAAGAATACAAAGTATTATCTCTTAGCACACCCTGCTGGAGCAGGTTCCTCTCACAGTGAGTTTTATAGCCCACATCCCCATCAAATACTAGTAGCCTGGCTTTATCAAGCATTTACTCTCTTGTTCTAGTTTCTGTAATTTTTTTGATATTTTGTGTTTGCCAACACTCTGTGCCACTCCCTCCTGGGTTTCAGGTGACTCATCGAGACATCTGGTCAATTTACTCTTGTTAACTGAGAAACAGCTTATTAAAATAAAGACAACATAAATGCTGTTTCAGTAAAATATGGCTTTTCTCTACATTTCCTGTTCCTGTTGGATAGGGTCAAAAGGAAGTTTCAAACTCCTTGCTGATGCACCCACAATATCCTCTCTCTCGAGGGTTTTGAACAAGAGACAGTTAGACGTCTTAAGTTACTGCAATTCCATAATACATTCCTGCCACTGTTAAAAGGCATTTTACCAGTGATATGACTGCAAATTTTCATTCATCATAGAAATTCAACACAATTGTCATGACTATCTGCCTTGTTCAAATAAGGTTCATGACTACAACAATGAATTTGCTGCTCAGGTATTAAATGCTATGTTACTATGCTTAGATTTAGATACAAATACCTGTCCATCATTTGCATGAATAATTAACAAACTTATTTCTTTAAAAAATGCTAAAAAAAAAATTTGTTCTTAAAACAAAAACACACACCAAACCCTTTTATTCTCTTTCCTCTGCATTGACCCCAGTTCTAATTTTGCGATGTGTTCATTTAAAGTGACATGATTTGTAACAAAGCCTTCATTATACAAGACAGCTAGAAACAGAGCTGTCTTTAACAATGAATCACAATTCTAAACTTTATGATTCACCCAAGTATCTCTTCTGCCAAGGAAGACCAATGTGATAAAAAAGCTGAAGAACGGAAATGTAAATAGTAAAGCTGTGATCTAAAGCAAGGCATGCATATGCTCTAGTTACTCATAGACTCTTAAGATCAGACACCTAACCAGTCATTTTAATGATTTCTAGTTTTTCCTTCAGTTTTAATTATCTTTCTAACTAAATATGAACCGTGTAGACTATTTTGTTCAAAATAAACCGCTAATGAATGCATAGTCAGATGTGCCTTTTTCCCTGGTGTACATTCCTATTCTTTCTTATTTAACACATTTGCTGATATTGTTATGTGTTACAGTGTGCGTAGGCAATCAGATCAGAAATAGGACAAACTAATAGCATTGGTAACATCCCCTTGCACTGAAAAAGAGGAACTGAGAACTGTTCTCACACACAAGAATGCAATTACTTGCTCTACTGAGTATCAACACAAAATGAAAGGACAATCCACAGGAAACCAAAGGGCTGAGATTACTTCTATAACATTATTGTTTCACTTTGTCATCAAAAGTAAATTACCACAAACAGATGAATGAATGTGTGATTTCTGCATTCATGAGCATCAGAAATTTGAGAGAGAACTCTTTTTCAATTGGAAAAGAAATGCTGCTATGTCTACGTTTTCACAGGATAGTAAACATTTGTACAGAAATCACCAACAAACAGTTAAATGATCTGTTCAAAATATCTTTATTCCACTATCACATTATAAATGCAATATCAGAATGTTATACCAAATGGATTTCATTTTTCAGTGTTTGGCATTTCCTGATTTTAGGGTGGTTAAAAGGATTTGCATAGTAGGAACTCAGCCTTTTCTGTATCTACATCACAAAATAATCTTTAAATAAATGATTTCTAGTATAGAATTTTTAATAACATATTGTCATGCAAAGTTTTCCATAGCCTGTAGGAACTTATTTACGACAAGCCAAGTATGCAAGCAGGAGCCAAGAATCAGCAGGGAGAGGGGACAAACCCTCTTCCAGAGTCTTCCTTCAGAAATTGGTGAAATCTTTCTAATACTGTCCAGGGCAGAGCTCAGTCAGCCGGATGCTTGCTTTCAGGTCAGCCTCCCTTCAGCGAGTACCTTGCACGAAATCAACTCTGGTGCAGGGCACCAAACAAAATAATGTGCACCACTGAAAATTCACACATGGTGATTTTCATGGCAGAATTTGAAATGTAAGAGGGGAAATGGAGTATGTTAATGCCCTGTGTAGGAGATAACCTATATAAAACAAATAAAACACACTATCCATGTTCAAAATGCAATTTTCTGAGGTGCGAAGTAAATAAAACTTCAACCAATAATCTCTAGAATTGCAGAAGTATATTTTCCAAAGTGAAAGTTACTTTTGTGCAAAAATTCAACTATTACTTCCAAGTCATGTTCATTGTAATGATGTTCAAGAAAACAGAAATTATTCTACTTTTCTCAATCTAAAGAAAAGCTGTACTAGTTTAGCTCCTACAGAATATCAGTTTACAGTACTGAGCACAAAAGTAGAAGATATATTCAACACATTGTCAGGTATTAAAACACTGAGACATGATACATAATCTACCTGTGTTTGAAACTTACATTTTCTGTTAATTTACATCAATGGGAAAAATATTGGGCCAAAAAAGGCTCTGTGTTTAATGCCTGTAACTTTCACCACTGCAACAGGCTAGACAATACTTAGATTCTTATTTAGATACTTGGACTGAGGCACAAATAATCTTTGGTTATTCAACTTAAATAACTTTCTCCATGAGTTCTACAATAAAATTTATGCATTGGATAGACAATAAAAAGCAAGAGCAAACAAAAATCTCCCCTTTCTAACAGTTGATTTCAGAAACATTTACAGAATTCTACCAAAACCACCCGCTTTCTTCAGGCTTAGCTGCTACCAGGGTTCTTAATTAACGATTGCTCATTCTACCACTTGACCACATTACACTAGAGAGCTACTTCCATTATATCTGCTTGTAGGAACAAGACTACTGCTTGAATACATCATCCTTTGCAAGATCAAACTGGTAGTACTAGAGGGAAGTTCTGCCTATCTATTTTACCAGATTTGAAAACTGTATGCCCAGTAATTCCAAGACAACGTATTACTCTGCATGTGTGTGTACCACACATGACTGAAATTACAGTTTAAAAAAAGGAAACTCTCATGATGTACAAGAATAATAAAAAACAATTTGCATGCAGTACAGTTAGCTATCTTTCTTTATTAACTGACTTCGAGGCAAAGTCAATAGATTTAGGTACTACCATGCAAGTACAGAAGACAATATTTTGTACTATCTGAACTCCTACCGTCAGAGACAGAAATCTTATTTTCTCAGTGTGTAATCTGAATGTATCCTCCAGAGCTGCTAAGAAAAAAGATTGCACTAGTGATAGACCTTCGAAAGAATTACCACAGCCAGAAGTCTTTTGTACTAGCAGGCAATACCTTCAGGTTTCATTTTGTGGTAAACCCTAAATTGATCTCCTGTAACACTTTCTGAGTAAGTGGTAGGAGTTACTAGCTTAAGATTTACTCTATGACTTTTTTAAGTGTACCATAACCTCCTTTAATACTGCAAGGAAGTTAATGACCAGAACATTTCACTTCTGCAGTTACCAGTGTCCTTGCTCAGGAATTCCACAATCTGCTGAGCCAATATTGTTTTAATGGATAGGAGTTTGCACTCAGAAAAGGCAAAAGAAAAAAACCTTCCTGGAATTCAGGGTTGACTAGTAGTTCAAAGCAATTCAATTACTGTAACACAGTAAGTAGGAATCGCAATTATTTTCATACTGAATTTATTTAATGCACCTAAAAAACCATCTCCTGACTATACTTAACAGAGTCACACATACACAGTTCTGTCAAATCTTCAAAACCCTCTATGAAGACAGGTGACAGTAAAGCTGGATATGGATGCTAAAATTATTTGTTATCAAATGGAAATGGCAGAAAAATGTCTGAATCACTGGGCTCGAAGGGTCAGTGGTTTTGAAGTCCAACGAGCAGCTGGTTAAGAGTACTGCACCTCAGTGGTTAATTCCAGGGCCAATTCTGTTTAGCATCTTTAACAACCTGTACAGAAAGCATCCTCAGCAGGTTTGGGGGCAATACCTGTTTGAGAGGAGCAGTCAATAGCTACCTGGAGGGTAGGGCTGCCATTCAGAGGACCTTGACAGCTTGGAGAAATGGGCTGGCACTGAACTTTAACAGTGTAAATGCAAAGTCCTGCATCTCTCATGCTCCCGTTACCATCTACAACTACCTAAATTCAAGGGTATAGAGAAGAGAGAGCTAGCCTGTTCTAGCTAGGGGCCACAGACACAAATTGCAGCAAGGGAAATTTCAGCTTAGATATTAGCAAAAAAAAAAAAAAATGCAGTGCTAGACTGGACAAGCACTGGAGCAAATGTCCAGAGAGGCTGTAGGATCTCCATCCTGGGAGATACTCCAAACATGTTGAGACATGGCCCTGAGCAAACTGCTCTCATCTGGGTGGGATCTAACTTTGAAACTGGCCCTGCTCTGGGTGGAAGGTTGGACCAAGGGACCTCCAAAGTGTCCTTCCAACCCAAAAATATTGTAGGGTTCTCTGATACTAAATTTTCAAACAAACACTTAAAGGGAGCAAAAGTCTTATTATTCAGTGTAATGGATATACCCATAAAAATGTCTTCACATCCTCACCACATGAAAAATGTCACATTTTCACAGGTGACTTTACACAACCTTTTTCACAAAAAGAAGCATGTAAAGTCACCCATCCCTTTCTTTTGTTTCTTCTTTTTGAAAACATACTTTCCACAAACACCTCTGCAAACTTGCTTCAGGTAAGGATGGTGAAATAAACTGAACAAACAATAGCATAAAATTAGACACTAATGTGGTATCTATATTTAAAAATAAATTAATACTGATATTTTATTAATAAAATATTTGCCAAATACCAGTTAGGATGCACCCTACCATACTAGCATTCAGTATTTTCCTTTGCTGATGCACATAAAGACAGATAAAGTTAATGTTAGGTTATGACGACTAAAATTTTAGGCATTTCCCACACCAGTGCAGCTATAGATTTCTGAGGAATATATGACAGAAGCAAAGTGTCTAACCTCTTGCTTGTAGCCCAGGTCCACAAGTCTCATGTGCTCCTGGACTGTCTTGGCGCACATACCATGGTACTAGCTGGCACCTGCGCCACTTGTGGGTCTTCCACCTGAAATGAGGGGAGAAACAATCAATTTCAAACAATCCATCTAAACTTGTAGCAATCAAAACTGAGGCAGCACAAGTGCTAGATAGTATTAGAAACCACCATAAGCTATTGCTTATTATTACTAACTGGTCACAGCCAATTTACAACAAACAGTAAAAATACCGTAAACTTTTCCCTCTTTCCTGTTAACTTTTTTACTCCTTTTAGCATTAGGCCATTAAGAACACAGGGAAGGAAAGAGGAGGTGGAGGAGGGAAAAGAAAGCAAACCATATATATTTTCTAGGATTTCAAAGTACAAAGGTACATTAACACTACCTAACAAATACACGGTGAATACAAACCACAATATGAGGTTTATACATTAATACAAAGCATTAACACACTTATACAAGATGTGAGAAAGAAATTTCAAAAAAGAATACTATACAAAATAATAAAATTGTGACTTGAATACCCATTTAACAGAACTCCTTTGCTATGGATTTATAACTGAGCATGCTCAGAGTATTTTACCAGTCAACAAAATGACAATAAAATTTGAAAAGTGGATTTAGTAAAGTGACACTAACATCTCATAAAAACAACATGGACCCATTAAATGAGTTTTGAATACTAGCATACCCTAATAAACCTCCTCTCTTTCTCACTTTCCCTTCCCTTCCTTTCTTTTTTCCACCTATCTCAGTGAAGCAAAGATGTGTTGAAGTTTCCCAAATACACTCCAGAGATAAGACTCCAGGGTTGATTTCTGGTTCACGCAGTACTGAGAGTTTCTTTTGGCAGTAAATACTGTCACATAGAAGTGTTAGTGCATTTCTTTCTCTTTTGCTTCTTTCCTCTTCCCCAGGTCTTTTCGTCCCCTCCCTTAGGCATGCCTTGCAACACAACAACAAATGGAGGAATTCTGCCTTATTTGAAGCACAAACAAGTCTTGGAGTTACAGACAAAGATGAGGTCAGATGAGCAAAGTCTTAGGATTTTTGGGTTTTTTTCTCAAATTTCAAATGATATGATTACAAGGGTAAAGTTTTCACAACAAACAAATTCCTTTCCTAAGCTTCATCTTCCAAACACTATTCCAAAAGGAGAAATCAGAAGCAAAAAGGGACCCCAGCTACAGCAAAGCATTGGGACAGTGGGTTTAAATGACTGTGAGGGTGCCTCGGGCAATCCCAGAGCACCTGGGGTCTCAGGTAGCTGGATGGCAGCACCTTACAAATGTGGAGCCAACGAAGAGATCCAACACAATGTGAATATGGGCCCAGACTATATCAAAATAGAACACAGACAAAAAGAACTTGTAAAAAACTTTGATAAGAAATGCAATATTGTGTTGCTTAAATTATTCTATCTTTAATATAAACTGCTACAACTTTTACAAAGTTCCCTTCTAGTGCTGCAGAATAACCTAGGCCTTAAATATAACAAATCCAGGCAAGTGTGGTTATTGTCACATCTCTGAAATAATCCACAGTTGTCTGAATTACTCAGAATGGGGGGGGAGGGGGGAACGGTATGTCCACAGCTCAAACCATCAACTGCTCTCATATTTAAAATTATTTCAATGGTTTTGCACCTCAAGTTTCATTGTAACTTGCCTCTGCAGGCCAGTATCTAAACTAAGGCATGAACCAAGCTGAATGTCTGTGTCCATCTGTCGCAGCAAGTGTAGGTCAGAAAGATGCTAAAGGAAATATACAGAAAATGTTTTTAGTATTAGTTTGTGTCATGAAATTTAAATCACCTCATCTATCACTCCCTAGCAACTCTTCTGCTCAGCACATCATCATGCACTAGCTCAGGTAAAATTTGATACTGAAGATACTAAAGAGATGAGGAGCAGCCAGCATTTTAAAAGATAAAACTCTGACTCTGGTATTGACTAGAAAAAGTTCTCGAGCTATATTTCTGATGTTTGGAGTACTGATTTTGGTAGCTTCCCAATGCTGTTTTACATCCTTTCATATCTTTCAGCTATACACAGTGTGATCTCCTAATGAATTTGCAAAGATAATTCTTACCAGATAATGAAAACAACACATTTCTTTAATCTCAATTTGTTTTGGCTAAAATAATCTTAAATTCTATTGCACCACTGCAACATAGAGGGGTTTCATGGGAACTAGCAGGTGTTCTTCTCTAGCCACTGGAGAAACAGAACATTGGCTTCCAATTCAAACATATTTATTATTCATAAAAAAAAAAATCTCTTTTTTTTTTAATTTCCTCAAGTAAATCCAACCAACTGCATCAGAATTTTCTAAACTTTGTCTGTATCAACAGACAGATCTTGCCGTACATCTAGACTTTCCCATGCCACTCAGACAGATACTACAAAACTGCCCAGAAATTTTCTTAAGCAGTTATGGTGGAGATCCCCACCTGTTGGAACAGTCCTCATCATTCTCTGGTGAAGATTTGGTCAACACAGGATTTTGTACATTAGGCAATATATCAACTGTGGACTATCTCAGGGCTGACCGGGATGGAAAGATGGAGGATACAGTGCATGGCACAGTGCGGCAGCAGAACTCAGCTCTCCTAGACAGATGAGGCTGCATTTCAGTGCTTTGGATCATTTAGAAAGGAAGATTTTTTTAATCATATAGAATTTCAAAATAGTTGTTAAGAAAGATTTAGCCTGGAAAGTCATTCTTAGTAGTTGCAATGTTCCTGCAAAGGACCTGGAACAAAATGAACTAGTGATTCACTATGGGCCCAACTGAGTCTACATATCTGTTCTGAAACCTTGGTTTAGCTATGTAGCCTATTTTTCTTAAGAAGTGGAATTTAACAAGCTTTTGAGGTAGTACAAGTTGAAAAATCATGTCTGAGCTGTCTCTGGTTGATTTAGACTACCTGTAGCTATAGCAGACAGGAGAAACTTCACACTCCTTTTCCTCAAACAAGGAGTCCGGGCACTCGCGACCACCGTTGGCAGGGAGCTGGATGATGACTCGGTGACGAGACTGCTTCTTTACTGTGACACCCCCTGCAAAGAGTAGAAGAGCTTGTTTCTCCTGCTACTACATAGGGAGGACAGTAATTAGGGGGAAAATAAGATTTAACATAACAGGTATTTGAGTCGATTGCTATAGTAGTGACATGCTATTGTGTCCATAAGCAGAAAATTAAGCCTAATAGATAAAACACTTTAATCTCAGCTAAAGGCCAGGAAGCAGAACTAATCAGAAAGAAACAGTAGCAGTACTGAACAAATGAATATACAGCTGAAGTGAACACACAGTTCAAGTGAACAAAAATTAAACCAGCTCAGTTTGCTGCTACACTTTACAGTTTCAAAGTGTAAATTTGCCCTAATCATTTGCATGCAAAACCAGAAACAGAAATTAATGGAAAGAAATTATTATATTTCACAATTTTTCCATTCGATAAATGACTCAGTCAGAAAATCTGCTTGCCTTTTGCTTATCTCCACAGCCAGGAATATAACAACTTTAATTTACAGTCTTGGTTCTCTCCAGGCTGGGCATTAATTCTGCTCCCTATGCCCTCGTTTCCCACCTGGGACTAGCATTACCCTCTCTAGACACGCAAAAACTATTCCAAAAGAGCATGCTTTACATTTAAATGTGAAGTTTCATTTCCCACTCTGGAATTAATTTACAGTTTACAGTTTTTAATTATTATACTCATTCATTATTAATGTTAAACAGTAAATAGTTCCTGTAGGAATTTTGATTCCAGTCATCTTCAGATGTCAGTTCTTCAGGCAGAAAATTAAGAGAAAACACACAAATTTATATTAATTCTGTAGCAATACCTAATACACAAATATCATTAGGTAAAAATCTTGGGGTTGTTTTGTTTTGTTTTTTTTCCAGAGAGCTGTAGGCACAGACATTTGGCTGACTAGGTTGATACCGGCTTTGGGTGGGTTATTACAGCAGCTGCAGCTTGTCTGAACACAGAAGCATGCTGGACCACAGCCAAACAATTGTAATTAGGAGCAAGCAGTAGGAGAATCCCGGTGGTGTCTTTCCACCACCTGGCCGCTTTTCAATGCAGAGGAAACCCTCCACTCGAGTCAATCAGCTCCAGGAGATGCCAGGAGCTGGCACAAGGGGCAAGACAGACGTGCAGCCCAGCAAAGCTGCTGACCAGCTTGCTGACGAAAGTAGGTAAAACCCATGAAATAAAAATTGTTTGTGTAGTATAAAAAGAGTTTGACTCACTGAATAGACAAAAGGCCTGTATTGGTTCACAAATATACTGGTTTTAGCAGCATACATGCTAGTTTGTAGTCAATATTCGTGAAGATATGTTCATTGTATCAAGACCTTTCTTAAAACCCGCAGAAATAAGAACAGAAGAGCATGGCATTTTTGTCCAAGATGATCTGCCCTAACAAAAGTATTTCAGAAAGAGCCATTAATATTGCTGTAAAATAACACAGTATTTAATAATGAATAACTATTTAATAGATTCAGATTCAATGGTCTCACTTCTCTGTTCTTTTTCAAAGGTTTTAAATTTAATCTTCCTAACCCCTTTTTTATTTGTTAGAATGCATTAAGCACTAATATGAATTACTACAAAAATGACTCTATGCTTGTGTCCTTTATAAAGCATAAAGAATTAGCCGTGACATTTGAAGTGCGTACGTTCGATGTAACAATATCTTACATTCGATAATATGGTTGCTGCGAGTAATCACCACATTCCACATAGGGATTAGCACCCCGTGGAACTTTGGGTATTATAGACTCTGTCTGTAATAGTACATATTATAAAAATACCTCCTGTTAAGCTTAAAAGAGAAAAAGAGCTAAGGCAGAAAAATGTGGGCAATATTAAATCAGTCATCACTTTATGTACAATTTCAATGTAATAAAAATTCAAGGGAGACCTGCACTGTTTTTAAGAACTTTGCCAAGTTTATTAAAATGTTATTGCAATATATGTTTAAGTCAGACCATTAATATCAACTTAAAGTCTGCTGATTTTTATTAACTGTCCTTCCATTTTCATTTGGGTGGAATAAACCAGCACAGGCAAAAGTGAAAGGGTTTTGCCAAAATTATATACATATGCACATCTCTCTCTCTCTCTCTTTTCAAATACAATTTCTGTAACTGTACAAGTATCTGTTTTGGTGTTACACTAAGAGATACATGTCTGCTCTGTGACTAGCTCTCTCTTTATCAGTGAAAGATGCAAATGGGAGTTTGTAACATAAAAGTAGGCAAAATGGGAAAAAAAAACCAAACAGATGCTTACAGAAAATGTATAGAAATAACTGTTCTATTCAGCAAAAACATTATGTTCCTTGCAGCTGCTCTACCAGCTATTACATGTCCTCTGTCAGAAAGAGATGTATGTAAGTATTCTGCCAAAAGTGACTCCTAGTTTGACTCCTTTTTTTTTTTTTTTCCTTAAAAATCTGCCTACCAGCACACAATGGATAAAATTACCTTCTTGACATGAAGAAGGACACAATGTCCAGTCACTGAATGGAGTCACAATACAGTCCTTCCTACAGGGAAGCAGACAAGGCCTCACTGTTTCTGGTCGGAGGCTCTCAGGGCATCTAAAAAAAAAACAAAACAAAACAAAAAAGAAGCATTATCAAATAAACAATCATTCTGCAGTGAAGTGGTGAATCACGAGAGGTACTGAATGCCTGCAGGCACACGAGGGGAGTGTTAGTTGCCCAGAATTCACCAGGATTGAGCTCGGAAATAAAAACTGTTAGAATTTAAATATAGCTGGTGGAAACAAGCCAAAACCAGTGCATTCTACACCTGGGGATTTAACTAAAAAAAAAAATCATGATTCCTCACTCACCATTCCAGACTCTGCCTTTTGAGTGTTGTTTTCAGGCTTCCAAATGATTATGCAGAAAAGCCATCTAGTTCCCTTCCAACCCAAACTATTCTATGATTCTATGATTCCAGTTTAGCTTAGCAAAATACATTTTTAGCTTTTCATAAATTTACCTGAAACATAAACTCTGGAAAGAGGCATATTTAAACTAAAGAACATTGCTAACCCAGGAACATGGCCAGGTATAAGCTGGCCATGATCATGACAGAAACCAGAAAAGTGTTTGAAACTGCCAGATCAATGAGACTGTGAAAGACAGTCAGAAAGGACAAAAAACCTTGCTTGTTTTAGGAAGAGGCTTGATCAGCATATAAAAGGGATTATTGGACTGCCACATATGGGACTCATTAACCCAAGTCATTTTCCCCCGTTCTGTGTTCCTATTATTTCATCAAGGACAAATGTGCTGCAATACTTGTTTTCAGAATGATGCAATAACTCTTGCAGAAGTACTGCAAATCTTTAAAATAATTTCAAAAAGACTATTGCCCTAAAAGTGCACAGAATGTGGACTGTCAGAGGATTACATAAAGAGGTAAGAAAAACATCACGTTTATATTTTAGAGCTTTTGGCTCACTGCAGAAAAACATTACTATGACTAGTTTTTCCTCTTGTGGCTGCTGGGCATCTTGGACCAGAGAGATGAGAGACCAGTTTTATATTGGATTGGATCAGCCAGGGAAGCTTGGCTTGTGCAAGGCATCTTTCTTGCCAGGCTGAAGGGAGCACAAGCGAGTCTAACAATGAGCTACAGAGAAAATGTGGTCTCCATGGTCGGTGGAGGACTAAGATCAGTGTGGCAGGAAAAGCAGGGGGAAATTGAGAAGAAAAGTTGAGTTGCAGCATTACAGGAACATGTTCTTCAGCAATAACACTTGCTAGTTCATTATTTCCATCGGTTGTCTCTGCATTTTCCTGTCAATTCACATAAACTTCTCAGAGTATGATCCATTACTGTGAACCAGCACCAACTTCTTGGTGCCTTCTTATAACATCTCCACCCTTTCTCTTTTCTCCCCTAAAATACTAACGTGAAAGACCATGAAATATTATAGCTATAGCAACTCAAATCTCCATCACCTCTCCGTAAGCTCTCTACATTTTTAAGTCAAATTGTGCCTTGTTTCTATGTGATTCATAAAATCAGATTATGTATGCATGGGTGTATTATATATGGTCAGGTACACTTTAAAAAAACATCTGCCAATCATATACATTGACTACGCTTTCAGAAATTTTCTGTAAGGTTAAAATTCAAAATGCTTCTGAAAAGTAATGAACGTTGGCTAATGGCTTTTTCCTTAAAGGACAACAGAAATTATAAGCATACAAAAAAGTCTGAATTATACACATTCACTGTGTCACTAAGAACGTCATCTTTCAGGAGCACTGAACATTGCAATTCCTCTTCAGATCCATGGGCAAGGCAATTAGTTCAATTAGAACACCATTTCTATCTTTTATATTGTTTGTATTTAGTATATGTGGCTTAAAGCAAAGTATTGATTTTTCTGCAGTCCTTACTCAAGGTCAAATTAAACAGAAGAGATACAAGCTGAAGTCTGTAACTTGCGAGGTAGATAAGGCCAATAATATTGATTGTATCATACCACAGTAATCCTTTTTATTAAGGGGTGTTTAAATCAAAGTTCCTATTTACATTTTCATGTTAAATGTCTGGTTCTTTAAAAATGATTCAGTGATTTTAAGGTGACAATTTGAAGGATCAACTGAGACTCTCTTTCTCATTTCACAGGATTCATTTACAACACAATAAAACAGCCCTCCTCCCAAAAATTTAAGGTCAAATCAAAGGCAGAGACATTAACAGCAAATTTAAAAAGGACGATAAATCATTAGAGGTTTTCTTAAAATGTAAAATGAGTAACAAATAAAAGATATAATGGTATCATGACTGAATAGAACAGCAACTTAATGCAGATACACAACAATTTAGATTACTGAATGTGCTGGCATTATTCCCCATATTTCCATTTAAAGTAAATTAGGAATAAGTCTACTGCTGAATAAAGCAACAAATGGCAGGCACCGTGAAAATATTTAGTGAGACAATAGCTGCCTCATGAACTTTCTAAATGACCTCTGCTATCAGCTCTTCCAGCTTTGAGTCTGTCCTCAGTGGGATATATTTACAGACTGCCAAACTGTATGAAGATATTATCAAATGCATTTTACTACCAGCTAATCTGTATTTAACCCTGGTCATATATTAAACTGCAAAATTAAATCACTGGGCCAAAGGGATCTCTTAGAGAAATATGTATATGGGAGAAAAACCTCACAAAGGTTGTCAAACTAATGTTCAAACTAATGCCCTGTCAGAGCCGTACCGTACTTGACATCCTCAGTCTGCTTCTGAGAAGATGCACTTACATGGCTTGTACTGTATTTAGATCCAAACCAGTATTTTTGCATGGAACCGCACTAATCCATATAGTGCACTGCTTGTTTGGAGGTACCCCAAGGATCTTGGAAATGGTGCTGCACTGCACACCACGTACATGCCTCAAGACTTTTATCTCAACTCGACCTGATGATGGCAAGGAGCCAACTGGATTTCATAGTCAGTCAGCTGCCAGCAAAATCACCACTGTAAATATGACCCGTAAAAATCAATAGTGAGAAAGGTATTTTATAGTCCGTCTGTCACTTCAGTTTTGTATTTTTAAAAGATTAATTGTTCCCTCATGAGAACACAAAGATGGGGGTTTTTGTCTTTGCATGCACTCATTGGTGATATAAATACAGAGCAGTAAAATCCAAAGATAATTACAGCATGAAGATATTTTTTAAGATCTTTACTTTTTTGGGCCCACTTGTCCCACGTTGACTCTCACACAGATGACTTTTCTTGTCTGCATCCCCACGGAACAGGTGGCCTCCCCATTCCAGCTGGCAGAGGAGTTGAAAGCAGAGACAGACGTATCTTCTATGCACTGTCCCCACGGGCCGGTCTGCCAATGATACACAGTGCAAGAGTGTTCGTTACAGCTGCGCGTTTCCTGTAGGGCACTACTATTTGGGCACTGTATTCCTCCTGGAACAATAAAACAGGGCAAAAGTTCATGCAGGGGAAGGAAATAAAGTGTTTTTTTTTTTTTTTTTAAATCAAAATACATGTAACTCTCTTCACTCTCATTTTGTGCAATGTAAGTTGGAAGGACTGCAGTGTTTAGTCTTGGTCTTGTACCAATAAATGGCAGAGTATCACATGAATGTTTTAAAAGATTAGGTGATATTTTATAAGAGCAAACATAAAAAGAAGACTAGATTAAGTTCTTCGCTGTGAATTCACTGATATCCAAAGTAAAGAGAGTATATGTTATATTATTGTTCTTATTTTGCTGAAAACTTATTTTCCTTTTGTATCGTCTGCCTGTGTTGTAAGCCTGAAAAAGTAACGTTATGAAGGGGAAAGGTTGGGTGAAATTGGTAATCCAAATTAAATACAAATAATACTCTAAAGTTTATGGAGCCTGTGGGTGGGTGGACTTGGCAGATATATCCATTGTGGTATGTTAGACTTGAAAGACCATATGGAGATGATTATTTTCTGACATTTTGTAGTAAAGGTTTTTGAAGAAGGAATGTTTTTTATTTTTATTTTTTTAGAAAAGGGGTGAAAAATAGGAAGAATAACTTCAGTTTGCATTGAGTAGTAAAATAGTTTGTTATAGTAGCGTATGGAAAAACAATTTATTCAAAGGTAAGCTGCTAAAAGAAGTTCTCCTACTGTTTTCCTATTGGCTCTCTTGTTTTCTGAAGGCAGCCAAAGATCCTGTGCAGCTGGGACTAATACAGGATCCAGCTGTAACTTTTTTTTACTGTTGTTCAGATGTCCGGTGATGGTCGAATCTAAGTTATTGTGTGGAAATTCAGTAAAGGAAAAGGGTAGGGTGGGAAAAAAGTGACTCTCTATAAAAATATTCCAGTAAAAGCAACAGGAACTAGGAGTATCCATTTCAGAACTCTGCTATAAATCCCATCCTGAAATACTTAAACGCCTTCAGATTTTGCTGTAGACTTTAAGTCATCTAGGAGTTCTTGGTTCATTTTTTAAACAGAAATGAAGTTAGCTGATTGGAGTGGGAAGGTGGCCGTTCTTCTAGATTGCTTATAGAAGAAGATACCAGTTTCTCATTCATAGTACAAGGTTTTCGATAAAACAAAATTCTTTACTCTCTTTAAAGTATTGGTACAATGTGTAATGCTACAGTGTGGAGTATATCAAACAGTTTTGATTCTACTAATTTAATTTATGCTGTGTTTCGCTAGTCTTTGTTTTACAGAGCCTAAGTATGTAAGGAGGGGAGAAGCTTAATATTTTTCTGTAGAGTTTGGTTTACCTTTGGTATATTTGGTGCTTCCAACTCTGTAGACAATGCCTTGGATTGAGGTTAAACAAGATAAGTGAGCAATACAGCAGGTATATGGAATGGTGAGAATACTTGATCAAATGCATCCTTTTTTCTTTCAACACAGTTTGGTTTTTTTCCTTGTTAAAAAGGTCATATTTCTCAAGTTTCTTTATAGTTGTAGCCAGCCATCCTGTTTCTTAGTTACTTGAGACTAGTGATGCCAGTGTAGAAATGCACTGTCCTTTAGGTATCTGCTTCCTGTCCAAATCTTCCTTCCAAACTTAACTTGCCGATGGAGTCCATCAAATGGCTACCTGAATTTCAAAATACTTTTACTATTGCTCCGAGACTTTAATTTAGGATGTCATTACTCAATCAGTTTGTAATTATGCTGGTCTAATTTAATAAATTTAGTAACAATAGTACACAAATTATAAGTCCTAATTGACTGGAAGAGCTAGCTTAAAATACTGTAAGTTATTTCCATTACTAGTGGCAGTGAAAGGCATTTTAAAACGTAACTACTGTGGTGAGCATAATCCTGGACAGTATTAATACATTCCTTTGCATGGGCCTTAATTGGTTGTTGGTATTAATTCTTTTATTGGGGAGGGGGGGGGAAGGGGGGGGGGGGGAGGAAAAAAAAGAAGAGGGAGAAAAAAAGAAAAAAGGAGAGAGATTTGTGGTCAGTCTGTTGGCTGCCGGACAGCCTGGCATTTTGCCCCACAGTGCTAGAACATAACAGCAACAACAATTTATTTTCCTTCCTGAGCTAGTAGGAGCTGATCTGTGACTTCAAAGTGGAAGTGAAATGGGGACAAAACAGTGTGCTTTGAACACAAATCAATTACAATGCAAAAATATCTATGATGTCCATATAGCAATGTAAAATGTAATCATTTTTGGAGTTCTTGAACATGGTCACCAATGCCAATTGTAAGAATGAGGAGGTTTTGTTTCAGTGGCAGGACTGCTGCAGTCTGTGACAATAACAGTTGATACTATTTGCATGGTGACTGAATTAATTCACTGTCAGTGTGTTTTGTAAACCTGCAACCAAATTTTTTTTTTTTTTTTTTGTAAATTGGCATGTGTTTCTTCTGTTTAAGCAAATGATGACACTTATTTTGCTCTGTTACTGCATTGGGTGATGTATATTGTGTACCTATGTTCGGGCTTTGGTAAGATTGTTTCCTCTCCCAAACACTGTTGTTTTTTATCTTCTTTTTATTTTGGCTTCTTTTTTAATACAATATTATAAATTAATACAAGGCAAATAACTTGCTTTCCCTTTTTTTTTTTTTTTTTGACATTGCAGTGATTAATAAGCAGTACTACTTCATTTTATCCTCGTTTTGCAAGAATGGTAGTTAAAATTCTTTTCCAATTTTTAAGGGTTATGATCTTTATTTGAATTGTGAAGAGCCTAAAGGAATCTCTTTCAGTTTAATTGTCTTCTTGAAGTGCAGATGAACTTACAGTGCATTTTGCAAAATTGGTTGTATGGAGACTCCGCCAATGTCAGACCATTAAAATAGAGCAACTAGAATAAGAAACTTTGCTTACAGATTTGTTTTAAGATGCTTTGGCTGTATTCGTGATATATTAAAAGGAAAATTCAGAAAATATTCGTGGCTTGAGAATAAAATCTCCTAGCTAAATTGAAGAAAGTAGTATGATAATGTCTTCCATCTTTGAGAGAACACTGCATTTCAGCTGTTACTGCATTGTATTTTTCTCTGGAGCTCATATGGACTTAAGAGATGATTTTTCAATGTGATGGGAGAACATCAAAAGGTCCTTCTCACATTTGAGAAATAATAGTATGACAATTCTAGCAAAGTTTTGGCTTTTCACTACCTCATTTTACATTTTGAAGAAAGGGTTTCCTGCTGAACAAACACATGTTAGCCTGATAGCATTTTCCTGTATTTGAATTGTGAACAGTCAAACAACTCAAAAAAATTTATGTTACAGTAGATACAGGGTTTTAACATAGAATATGTGCATACAATAAATCTATTCAACTAATCAGTCTGCTTCCTTTCCCTCCCACCCCCTTGCAGCTGGAAGTTCATCAGCTTCTGCTACTATATCTAGCTTCCTCTTGAGACTTTCTGGAATAGAGTTAACAGTGGTGGCAGGCATTAATGAACAAAGTCGTGATTATATTCTGCGGGTCTCTATAAGTTGTCATTTTCCATTGCTACTAATTCTTATGGAAACTATGTCATCTATTTAGTATGAGCACTTTATGTGTGCCATGCAAAGTTGCATGCTGCAGTATTTAGTGAAAGCATGTACATCATCATTAAATCAGTAGAAAATATTTTTAGATTTCATTAGTGACCAATCTGGCATTTAAAATGGAAAATTTATGATAAGATTTTATTTTCATAAGTTCTTAGCTAGGATAATGCAGGATGGCTAGACTTCCATTGATAGTTAGTTTGTAATTAATTATGCTTTGAGGTTCTTTGACATATGGTAAGACATTTTTTTAAGGTACAACTGTGGAAGAATTCAGGAAAAAGAAAAATTAGATGCTTCTATTCGTCTTAACAAAATGGAAAATTTATGATAAGATTTTATTTTCATAAGTTCTTAGCTAGGATAATGCAGGATGGCTAGACTTCCATTGATAGTTAGTTTGTAATTAATTATGCTTTGAGGTTCTTTGACATATGGTAAGACATTTTTTTAAGGTACAACTGTGGAAGAATTCAGGAAAAAGAAAAATTAGATGCTTCTATTCGTCTTAACAGTTGTAAAAATTCATGATAAAATACCTGCAGTCAGATCTAATGGAATCTAACAGCCTGAATAAAAACTTGTATAACAGTGATTTTTGTTGACCTTTTTTCTTTAAAGGATCAAAATGTAACTTTTCAGAACTAGCTTCTGGACATTTAGAGATACTGGCTAAACATCTGCAGCTTCAGGTGGGTATGGCACTTAGGTGTTCTGGTCAAGCTTCAAATACTTCAACAAAGTTTTAAGGTCCAATTTGTTAAGACATTGAAGAGATGGTATGACAGATGCTGTAATTGAAGAATCTTTTAGAACTAGTTTTTGTATAAGTGGACTGTAGACTGCTGCCTGTCTAGGTGTATGCCGTCAGGATTAGATGATTGTTGGTGACAAAGCTTGGTGCCACCACTTTTATTACCAACCACTTTTCTCAGTGGTCAAGAAATACTTAAAACAATGAAGAGTTTATCTGTGAATGGTATTCTCCAGGTGTTTTGTAATCACTGCTGTATTGTCCGTGTTTGTGAAATACGAAAGAATCTCTAAACTGCGTTAACAAGTTTCCTCACTACTTATTGCATGAGCTGTGTCGGCAGAGTTGCAGAGACTGTTGCTACAGACTGAAGAAGTTACAACGTGGTATTTCTGGTTGCCCTAAGGCAAATTTAGGATGATTGCAAGTATGTTAATATGAGTCAGATTTTTTTCAGCCTTATACAAAGTTTGTATAGTGAAGCTCATGTCAGGTAGAGCACTGCTCTGAAGAAGAGACTACCTCTTTGGAAAGGTGCTTAGCAGAGGCTACATATAACCATATTGTCTATGAAGCTGGTATCTGCAGGTAAAAAATCATGATTTGCTGTAGGTTTTACTCATTTAGGAAGTGATATCTTTTATTGTTACCTTTTGTGTCATGTTGAGGGGTAGC